ACTACGAGATCAGATGGTGAGAAGTCGATGGGGGAATGACTGGTGGCGCGCTCGGAGGGGTACTCCAGTATGAGTGATGAAGGGCGCCAGTAATCCTACTCTGTGTGGAGGGTGGTCAGAATGGTACTGCTGCGGGTACCAATTACAATGTACCCACAGATGATAGCTTCTGAGTTATGGTATACTTCCGGAAGGTGTCTTAGTGTGTTGATAATTTCGTAATTGATCATAATATATAATTATTACTTTTATATCTGTTTTATTATATCGAATGATTTAATGCTTACCCCTATTTTTCCATGTGGATGTGACTGCGATGATCACTTTTATGTGGGAGCAGATCAGGAGTTGAGAGATGGAGATGTGACTACTGGACAACGAGAGATAGTTCGATGGGATAACTTTGAGAGAGCTACTTTTACATGTATAATATATAAATAAATTATATTACTATATTTTGAAGTTTCGTTAGTGAACCTAATTTCAATCTATGTTACAATGACAATAATATAATGTAAAATAGATGTCATTATTTACTTATTTACTACTTTGCGAAGACATCATTATAGTAGCGATTTCTAGGATCATTACATTTCTCTCATTTCTCAATTATTTTTCTAATTAAAAATACTAAATTTAAATTTAATAAAAATATGTTAAAGTAATTTTTTAAAGATTAACATTGAAACTAAAAAATATTAATTAATTATTTAAAATTATGATGATAGTATTTATAATGATAAAAAAATAATAAATTAACTACTCATCTAATTAAAAGTTATCAAATATTTACGAGTTAATTTTTTAGTAATTTAATATAATTATAATTAAGTTGAATTATGATGATTAATTGAATTAAACAAATTAAATATTTGTTTATTAAAAAGAATTTAAAATAAATATTTTATTATTTTTAATGTTGATTTTAAAAAATATGTTTTAACATGTTTTTATAAAAAAAATTATTTTTAATTAGAATAATAAGATATAGTGAAAGAGGAGAGATAAGAACAAAAAAACTGAGAAGCAAAATAGAAAAAATAACAAGTAAATGATGAGAGTGAAAAGAAAAACAAAGACTGCCTAAGAAAAAAATAATAATAAAATGAGTGAAAAAAAAGTATATTACATCAAAAAATTTCACTCTCCATAATCGATTTTTTGTGTACAAGATGTTACAACTGGTTATTCAATCCAAGATGTTTGTCTCCATAGATCAAAGTGAAAAAATGAATGATCTAATCTAGTTTATATTTTTAAATATGTCATAAATTTTTGTCTTAATTTAGTCCAGAGTGAACCAAATTTTATTTAATAAAAAAGTTAAAAGAAATATTAATGTATTTATATAAAATAATTAATTAAAAATTATTAAAAATATATTAATAACATTAATTTTTACTTTAAATATAATAATTTAATATATAAATTATAAGAAAATGAATTAATTTTATCTTAAAAATAAAATCTTACTCTTTATTAATATTATTATAATTTATTTTTTAGTAATTTATTAACCTGAAATAGTAATTTATTTTAATTATTATATATTAAAATAAATAAATAGTAAAGGCTTATTATTTATTCCTCTTTAAAAAAGTGAATCTTTTATTAAATTAATTTATAATATATATATTTAATAAAATAATTTTATTTTTATTTAAAAAATAAATATTATTTTATATATCGGATAGACTTATAAATCTAAAAACTAGTTTGATCTCGATTTATAAAAGTCACAATTTAAGTGAATTCTATATTTTTTTTGTTTAACTTTACTTTTTCTGCTTGTTTTCGTCGTTTGAGTTAATTATCAAACTAAGCATATTTTATCATTTCTATATATATCTAAATATAAATAGTAAATATGTCTAATTAAGTATTAAATTAATAGATATTCTATTTAAGTATTTTTTTTAAATATATTATTTATGAACTTGATTTCAACCTCCATCTTTTTAAATAAATTATATTTTAGTGCAAAATATTTTCTTTCTTTAAAATTTAAGATTAGGTCACACATATCAAAATAATAATTATTTTTATTATTTTTTAATAAATTTGTTAGTATTTTTTTTATTTATATTTTTGTCATCTTAATATTTTTTTTATCCAAGATCGTTTATATATTCTCTATAATAAATACTATTAAAATACAATAATATAATAAGTAGAAAAATAATTAATATAGTCTTAAACTTTATAAATATATATTTTTAAAACAAAATTTTCCCAATAAAACATCATATACTTTGATACATATATGATTTAACATTCGGGTTTCCAATTACGATATCTTCTTGTTGTGGATACATCATACTATTATTTTATTATGATATAAATCAATGTCATGAAAAACGTCACTATTTTTATTTAAAAAAATTGTGGTACTAACAGAGAAATCAAATAAAAATAGTTAACATAAAAATATAACAAGAAAATTCTGAAACCGAAAAAAAAAATCTTTTATTTAATAATAACTAAAGAATAATATTAAGTAAAATATTTTATAATACGGATTATCCTCTCGTATCTTTTGATGTTACAATACTCACACTCTAAAAAAAAAAATTAAATCAAACCTCATACTATTCTATTTACTATAAAAGTATAAGAAAAATCAATTACATATTTAAAGTATTTTTGACTAAGACATCATAACATCATAAATTTTAAATTTCATATAATATAAGATTTTTCAAAATATATTACAATCCAATAAATTTAGAACAAATTTCTATAATATTTTGTAATAATGCATGACATAAATTATTCCTATCTTATGTGTATAGTTTTTCTCTCTTTGTATTAATATAATTCTCTTATGGTGGGTATACCTATTAGTGGTGTGAATTTATGTAATAAACTATCATCATAATAATATTGTTTACTTTGATTATATATAATAATAAGAATTTAAATACGGTTAATCCTTAAATTTTGAAGTAAATTATTTTTAGTGTCTCAAATAAAAAAAAACATTTTAACTTCTCAAATTTAATAAAATTTCTTAAATTTAACAAAATATGATTTTGATCCAAAATAGAAGGATTACACAAGTTTAACAAAAAAAATTTCAATTCACCAAATTTAATATTTAAAAGATTTTTTTTTAATTTTAAGAGATTAAAATAAATTTTAAATTTCACAACCAAATTCAGAATCATCTTAAATTTCAATAATTAAAACATAATTAAGTTTAATAATAATTATATCAATTATTTTTTTTACGAGAATAATTTTAGGTTTGAAATTTATAAAATATATCCATACTTACTCGTTAGAAGTGGTTATTTATCACAACAAGCATTAATTCTTTTGAATTACATTTGAAATATCATTGTCTGCCACGTTAATCTTTCCACGTTAACACTTTCAAAATAATTCCATGAAAATATAAACAACAATCTAAAATTTATGAAATCTTATATGATTAACTTCTTATAATTTGTGTTATTATTATGGATAGAGACGATTTTAAACTTATGTTTCTCGATATATCTTTATTCTGAATTTGTTAGAGATAAATTGAGTTAATTGGGTATAAGTGTAGATTTAGATTTTTATCATTCTAAATAGAGATAAGGAAGATATAAAAAAAATAAAAAATGTCCAAAAGGTAAAATCCGTCCCAATCTTGTCTTGTGTTGTTATCATATATAATTATGATTAAGATTATTAATAGTATTTCCTTAATAATATTAACACTAAAATTAAAATAGTAGTGTAAAAATTAATATTTTTTTATTAAAATATTTAAAATATCATATTTTATTTTATTAACTTTTTTAAAATAATTGTTTTTAATATATATATATATATATATATATATATATATCATGTTTTATAATCTACTTTATTTATGTTTAATTATTTTTTTTCTTATTTTTTTCTCTTTTCCGAAACATATGATTTTTTTCCCTTATATGAACTCTCTTCTTTTTAACAGTAATATATCATAATAAGAATTATAATCGACCAAAAAAAATTATAAAAAAATCACATATAATATAGATATTGATTAAATCATACATTCAAATAAATCAAACCAAAATTAAAATTTAAAAAAAATATAGATTAAAAAAATCACATATGTTAAAGTTAAAGTGTGTATTAATATTTTTTATATTATTAACTTCTTACCATAAATATTTTTTAATATATATCACATTTCTTCCTTTATACTCTTATATAAGTTATATGTTTTCTTTTTCATTTTTCTCATATATATTTTTTTTATTTTCCGATATGTAATTTTATTTTTTCTCTTTTAACAATAACATATCATAAAAATAATTATAATCCACATAAAAAGTATTCCTTTTGTATAATAGATTAGATATAAATACATATTCAATAATTTTTTTTGAAATGATTTAAATTTTCTTGCGCGAATCTTAATTTTTTAAATAAAGTCTCTTAAGTATTTTTTTTAATTTCAGAATTTAAAAGTAATTGTTTAGTTTCCAAATTTCAAAGTAAAATCGATAGTTTTTTCCATTTTAATTTTAATTGTAAGTTTTTATTCTTCTAAACCCATTCTAGTCCTAAAAATGTTACTAAGATCTTCCCTGGTGTAATTAACAATATATTTTTGTCAAAAAATTATCTGAAATATTTTTTAACCCTAAAATAAAAATGAAAATTAAAACATCATTTATGCGATAAGACTGAAGTGGTAGTAGTGACCACAAAATATGCTTAACCTTGCTTTTTATAGGTAACACATACAATATGACTGGAATATATATATATATATATATATATATATATATATATATATATATATATATGTATGTATGTATGTATGTATGTACGTATGTATGTATGTACGTATGTATGTTTTTTTTTTTAATTTTCTTTTGTAATAAGTTATACATAAGTTTTGATCTCGTGTACCACTATGCATATATTTAAATATTTCAGGGTTCGAAGGTTCTACAATACCATTCCATTTTCACAGGGAAACCCAAACTGAAGCGCGAGGAAGCCAGGTTTCAATGATCATGAGACACAAAGATTGGGTGATTGCGACAGCGCTAACATCGTTGTTGTTTGTTTCTTTTCCGGCGTTCAGTGACGGACTTGTTCCTCCGCGTTTGCTGCTCAATAAGTTGTCGGAGGGCAAATATCTCACCAATCAGGCGCTCTGGTTCGACCAAACCCTCGATCACTTCTCTCCCTATGTATCCTCTCTCCCAATGCAAAATTAGAAGCAAAATTTTTAGTGTATTGTTCTTTCAACTTTTAATTTTGGAAAATTAATGTTATTTTGCAAAAAAAAATAAAAAAAATTGGTTGTCGTCCTGCAGGATCACCGTCAATTCCGGCAGCGTTACTATGAGTTCCTAGACTATTTTCGGATTCCTGATGGACCAGTTTTTTTGGTAATCGGTGGTGAAGGCACGTGCATTGGAATAGCAAATGACTATCTTGCTGTAAGTTGAAATTCTAGGTCCAAATTTGTATTACACCTCCATTTTTTATGAATAAAACATAGTTTCATTTTCGTAGCACCCAATCTATATATCTGTTGCTTTAATTACTTTAAGACTAAAATGCCCCTAATTAAAAGAAAGAAATTGTACTAATAAATTAGAGCAATTAAAATAAAATTTGGTTGGAATGAGTTTTCTTTTTCAATCAATTAGATATGGTCCAACCCAATGCATTACTCATCGAATTGGATTGAATTTGGTTAATTATTATTATTTTTTGTTAAATTTTTATATTTTTCTAGATTTTTTTATATAATAGGCTATATTAATTAATATTTGAAAAATTAAATAATTTAATATTTCAAAAATATATTTAGTCAAAGAATAATTTAGTAGATTAAATAATATTTATATTATTATTTAATAATAATTTTAGTCAGGTTGTATTGACGAGGGTGGTTTTAATATATATATATATATATAACCACTTACCTTAATCTTATAAATTGGGAGGTAATTGAGGCTTTTAATTACGCAGGGAAAGAGTATTTTTTTTTATTGGTTAGTATGTCTGCAATCAGAATGGAAAAGGGATAAACACGAAATTTAAACATGGCAATGCTTTATAAGTTAGGATCCTCTCCCCAACAAGACTGATTTTTTCTCGTTGTTCCAATAAAATAATTATGTGAGTTTTTTGAAGCAAACTTCAATAATCTCAACAAATTTCCCTGTTTTTTATTTTTTATTTTTGTCTATAGGTACTGGCAAAGAAGTTTGGAGCAGCTTTGGTTTCTCTGGAACATCGCTACTATGGAAAGAGTTCTCCGTTCAATTCTTTGGAGACAGAAAATTTGAAATATCTTTCATCCAAGCAGGCACTCTCTGATTTGGCCTTTTTTCGCCAGTATTATCAGGCAAGCTACATTGTATTGCTGATGTAGTTGACAGCAACATGGTAGAAATGAAGCCAGTAAAATAGTAGCCTAAGAGATTTTGTAGAAAAAAATAGTGGATCGTTCTTTGTTTGATGCTTTTAGATGACTAAAAGAGCATGACTAATGCAAGTAATCACATATAAGTTGCTAAGAACCAAATTTTAAAAAGCTGTAAAAGTTTATTGTAAAGGATTAGTGTTATTGTGAATGACATTCAGGCATAAATTAACTTAACCAATGGTCAGGACATTGAGATAATTGTTAAATGTTTTCTGTTACTCAGTGTAGCTAGTTTTCATCTATTTAAAACAAGTTGAATTGCACTGCATGCAGTATAAGACAGATATCTTGGAGATTCCTAATGTTTTAAAGAAGAAACAATTGATTTTGAATGTTAAGAACATTAAATTGATTGGCTCCTCGGCAATTATGGCTTTCATACTTTACCTGGACTAGTAATATACTATGATTGTACTTGGAGTTTGATAGAGTATGTATTCATCTGAATTCGAGGTCAGTGTCACCTCCTAGAATAAGATATGAGAAAGGGATTATTGACTAGATTATGCATATATAAGTTAGTGAAGGGTCCAAGGGTAAATAGCATGATAGAATGATGGTCCATGTGCTCAGACATTCTAATAGAAAATATTCTAACTGAATGCCATCTCAGCAAAACAGAATCCCAATCCTAATAATGGACGTATGCAGCATCTTTATTTTATTTACTAGTCCTCTTGCCCTACTAGTTTGGGCTGCCTCCTTCTCCATCATGTCAAAGTTGTAATTGCATGTACATTACTCTCACATGCAAGCCTGAAGTTCTAGTTCTACAGTTTTCTGCAAGCTTGTTTGATTATAACTAAGGTATTTATGTTGAACTAATCATGTAATTTTTTTTAATAGTATTTTTGGATACTTTCTAGTTATCAATCGATCATGTTTCCATGATCTGTTTGATTTTTTTCACTGTACTTCAGGTTTGTCTATGACATGAGTCAAATTTTTAAATAATCCATTTTTGGATATTGTGTTTATAGTTTATTGGATTGCAGGCTTCCCGCCCTTTTTATTTGATTTCTTGCTGTCATTTCATGCAGAACTCCTTAAATGCAAAGCTTAATAGAACAAAAATTGAAAACCCTTGGTTCATTTTTGGTGGCTCATATTCTGGAGCACTCAGTGCATGGTTCCGTCTTAAATTTCCCCATTTAACATGTGGAAGTCTGGCAAGTTCTGCGGTTGTTCTAGCTGTTTATAACTTCACAGAATTTGATCGGCAGGTGACGATATTTTGTTTCTTTAGTGTAAATGCTACTGAAAATTCTCACTAAAATGTCCTTACACTCTTCTCAATTACATTCTTCCGAATTTTGTTGCGCAATTAAATAAATAATGATTACATCATTTTACAAGCAATATTCTCTCCCACTTAATTGGTTTGTGGCTAATAATGAATGAAATTAGACTAGTGTAAGTATTTATTAAGGATAATATTGGAATAAAATTTACATTGAAAAAATGTAAATTACACTTAATTTGAAAAATTATCAGAAAACTTAAACAACACAAAATGAAATGGAGGGAGTATAAAGTTTTCAAATTTTGCTCTTATTTAATTTCCACCAAATTTTAAGTTCCTGGTGTTATTTTTCATGTGCAGGTTGGTGAGTCAGCAGGTCCTGAGTGTAAAGCAGTGTTGCAAGAAGCTACTCAACTCGTTGAACACAAACTTGCAAGCAATGGAAGGGAACTGAAGGCCGTCTTTGATGCAGATGATGTATGTTCTATTCCTTTGTTACACTTTCCTTGCAAAAGTATATTATAGTTTGCCCAGAAGATGAATAATCTTTCTCACTAGGCTTCCCAGTTTGATTGTCATGCCGCATGCTGACTATTTCCCTCTGTTTTGCAGCTTGAAATAGATGGAGACTTTTTTTATTATTTGGCTGATGCTGCTGCTACAGCAGTAAGTTTTACTATTATAGGTGTTTTGTTATTAATTGCAGTTTCTTTTATTCAATTTCATTAACAGTAGTCTCTCTTTCTGGATCTTTTAATATTACAGTTTCAGTATGGAAATCCAGATAAAGTATGTCTGCCTCTTGTTAATGCAAAGAAGGCTGGAGAGGATTTGGTGGTATGCTTTTCAACTTAGTTCCTTTTCCAGAATATTACGAAACTGATCAATGGAGTTCTTCTCTCCTTTTTTGTGTGCGTGTGTATGTAGTAGTGGTAGTAGTGGTGGGAGATTTAGTATAATTTATGAACAACCTCTGGCCTTTGACACCCCCTCCAGTTGTTCACCTCATTTGCAAATGAATAGTTTATGTATTTCATTTTTCTTTTTGCCACTTCAAATTATAGTTTATAGTCATGTAAGATTCTTCGTCATGTAAAACAACTCAATCAGCATTTATTCTAACCTCAAATGGCATATAAGGTGGGGTGTAAAGTCTCAAATTTGAATATGATGTACACTATGATAGGGTGTGGTTTATGCAGGCCTTTTATCTGAAATATTTATAAACAACATATCTACTTTATTAGTTGTTTCTAAATCCTATTACTTCGTAATGGACCAGCGGTTACACTAGCTGATGTTCAGTCCTTAACCATGATGTTCATAACTAAACATGTAATTTGGTATTTGTCATAGAGGAATACTCTAGTGTCTTGACATGTTCATAAGCTTCATCCTTTACCTTTTCTTAGCACATATTGAATAAAATTTTCTCTGTTTTTCATTTTGTCACTTGTGTCTTTCTTAGGTAATATGCAAGAGATAGTGCATTTCAATGGTTGTCTTTATTCTATTTTATTCATTTGTTAGAGGGCATGTCTTGGCACAATGGTAAGGTTTATTCAATCTTGTCAATTAGGTTGTGCTCAATTACCCTTCCTTAACTGCACCAGGTGGCAGCCGTGTGCATGGGGTCACGATTATAAATTTATTTGGGGTGGGGATGGTGGGGGTGTCTATGCGGTTTAATCAGCTGATGGAAACTATTAATTTTACACGCAGGATGCTTATGCCAAATATGTCAAAGAGTACTATGCTGGGTCTTTTGGTGTTAATGTACAGGTTTATGATCAGAAGTATTTGAAAAGAACTGATATCAACGAAGACAGTTCTGCTCGATTATGGTGGTTTCAAGTTTGTACTGAAGTTGCATACTTTCAGGTGGCTCCCTCAAATGATAGTATTCGCTCCTCAAAAGTTGACACGAAGCAAGTTCCTCATCCTCGCTCTTCGCTTTACATCCTTCTCTATTGACAGAATTCTGTCACTATTACGTTATTCTTTTCATGTTTGCAGTTATTGAATTTTTTTCTTTATAATGTTTTTAATATGGACAAAGTGGTTTCTCATACGTCGCAGATACCACTTGGACCTTTGCGAAAATGTCTTTGGAAAGGGCACCTTTCCTGACGTTGATGCAACTAATTTATACTACGGCGGCACAAAAATTGCTGGTATAGACACTTGCCTGTGCCTGAATTTTTATGTTATTCTCCTCCCCCGAAGCCCCCGTCATTTCAATAATATATGTAAAAGTTTATAAATAATATACTTATATCACTCTGTCTTTTCCATTATATTATATATACGGTGGTTGTTTTTCTTTTATTTGTTCATATAGATGTGTGGGCCTTGATGATTGTTATCCTGAACACGAGCTTAAGGAGTAATTTTGAAAATGAATTTCTATTTATGGTTTTAGTGTGTATACTATCTCTTGAATATGACCTGATTTTATGTATTCTATTCTGATGTACATGAACAGGTTCCAAAATAATATTTACAAACGGCTCACAAGATCCTTGGCGCCATGCATCCAAACAAACTTCATCTCCTGCCAGTGAGTTACCATTTGCTTTTTTTATCAATTTAGTCAATAACATTTGTTATCCTTGTTATTTCTGTGGGGGTATATCTGAACTATATTTCTCTAGAATCCTACATGGATTGTATATTTGATGGCTATTTAGTTAAATGAGTGGCTCATTTTCAATAAAAGTTACATTATGTAATGTGTAATTCTCCTGTTCTTGAATGTTATGATCTTAGTGTACAGCTCAAACATTATCTGGTATTATTCATTGGTTTATTGACTTATAAGGGGGAAAAGGAAGTATTCTGTATATATATATATATATAATTTTTTTTTCTGCCTTGGTTGTGCAATGCAAGCAATTCTGTTATTTTTTGGTTCATTGAATGCTGCCTAATTGCTATTATTAAACATTTCAGTGCCTTCCTACGTTGTCACATGTTATAACTGTGGCCACTGTTCTGATTATCGAGGATGTCCTCAATCTCCTTTCGCCATTGAAGGTATGTGTTACATTTCTGCACCAACATATTGCTCACAATATTTCTTCCCTTTTTTTTATAGAAATATTTTGCTTCTTAAAAGAGAAGCCGGGCTTCATTATATATATATAAAGGAGGATTTTTTTTACTATTCTCCACTCGTTTAATTAAATATTTATCTTATATTTTATTTCTGTCTTTTCTCATTCAATGATACGATTTTTCTCAATTTCTCTCTCAAATTGAAACAAATAAAATTAATTAAAAATTATTGTCTCTTTCTCACTCTTTTCATCATACGAATCTTTATATTTATTTATATTATATATAAAGAAAATTATTCTTTTCATAAATATTTTTTTGTCATTAGAGAAAAAGAAATTGTATAACGAGTGAAGAAAGAATGCGAGATACAATTAAAGATTTGAGAGGAAAAAAAAATACTGTATAATGAATGGAGAAAAAAATAAATTATATAGAAAATATAGACATATAGGTGTTAAAACATTTGAATGTTTGTTAGTTACACATAAACTATGTTTATATATAATAGAGATTCATCTTTTGATAATCATTTTGGTACGAACAAAAAGAAAAAAATATTATATACAATTAGTGAAGAAATAATTTGAGATATATATATATATATATATATATATATATATATATATATATATATATATAAGAATTGAGAGGGAAAAAAAGTAAAAATAATAATTAGATGAAAAATGTGGATAGGCAGGGTTTCTGTCTATTAGTTTTCATTAGTTTATTCATAAAGTGCATTTATTTTTTTTAATCATTTTGGTGTCATCATTTAATTAAGTATTTATCTTCATATCTTAGTCTCTACTATTCTTGATGATACATTTTCCTCCTTTTTCTCCTGAGATAAATAAAATTAATTAAAAATTATGCACTCGTTTCCACTCTTTTCATCACACTTTCTCTATCATTTTCCTCTCTCAAATATAAATGAAACAAATAAAAATAATTAAAAATTACCCTTTCTCTCCACTATTTCTCTCACCATACATTCTTCTCAACTTCTTTCTCTTATCTAATAATAGTTTTTATCTAATAATTTTTTTATATGTAAAACATTTATATTTCAAAATTAATATATACATTTAAATTTTAATTCATTAAGATTAAAAATCATAATAAAAATTCTCTCCCATATCTAATAATTGTTTTTATCTTATAATTTTTTTATATAATAATATTTATATTTCAAAACTAATATATACATTTAGATTTTAATTCACTAAAATAAAAAAAAAAACGTGATAAAAAATGTGGACATTAAAAGCGTAGATGATGTACACCTATTTTTTAAAAATATTTTAATAACGGAGGTGTACACCTATTTAAAAACTATATGGAGCGCATGTGTTATTAAAATCATAAGGATGTATGTGAGTGTAATTTAGTATCACTTTTTAGGAATAATTTCTCCTTCATGTAATATAATAAGTGTTTAGCAATTTGATTTTTCTCTCTTTTTTTATCCATTTTTAGCAATATTCTACTTCTTAACAAAAATCTGACCTTGATTTTTTAATAAAATAAAGTCACTTTTTTTTATCTATTTGTATTTATTGATAACAAAACAAAGACACTTTTTGCACAAAAGTTTATATGTAATTTTTATAATATTTAAATTTTTTTTGTTATAACTTAATTTCTATTGATAAATTTGTATTTAAAGTAATAATTTATGATTCCATAATAATAACGGAGAAAACATATTTCATAAAAGATACAATGACACATTGTTCATACTCACTAACAATTCATTGATATCATTTTTCTTATAAATAAAATGTTAATATCCATTTGGGGTTTATTCTTTTCGGTTGACACCTATACTTGTTTATTGCTAACTTATTAATTTTTAACAATAAATTACTTTTTATGAAATAGTTTATTAACTATTTAGTTTTATTTTCTTAAATAATCATAGATCTTTCTATTGAACCATCTAGCTTATAAGCTTTTAGTCAACTAAAATAAAAGATGAGAAAAGAAAAATAAAATTGATAATAGGTAATAATAGAATTAATTACCGAAAAAAAATTACAATTTCCTATTTAAATCTAAGGAGAAAACAATAATATTTTTTTTTTAGAAATAAGAACTCCATTAGTATGTAATGCACTAATAGAAAAAAGAAGGAAGAGATTTTTGGTGATTTATAAGGTAAACATTGTGTTTCTTTTTTATAAAGTACCAACCTATATAGGATTTCTCTTCTCATGTTGTTACTTTTTGCAATAGACTTTTAGGAGAATAGTCTTTATGTAATATATGCTAGTTTCTTTTTGCTATATCCTGGAATACAAGGAAGAATTCTTTACAATTTGCAAGACACTCTAACGATCACAATACACAACAATCTTCTGCTGCTTGTGTTCGAGTTCCTCCATTAATTTTATTAATCCAGATAACTTCCTACTATGCTTGATGGTTGCCATATACTTAACTTCTATATTAGAAAAAGTTGTAACATCCTGCAACTTGGGTAACCAAGTTACTGTCTCTCCAACAAGGATAAATTCGTCAAGATTACCTGCAAAACCTGAACAAACATAGCATTTGACAACTAGTTTTGATCCTCTGAAACATAATGCAACATCAAGGTTCCTTTGATAAGGATTCTCTTAATAATACTCATGCTCTCCACCGTAATTTGCTATTAATCTACTAACCGCTCCTATTATTTGTGCAACGTCTGGTCTTATATCGATTATGGTATCCATAAAACTTCTCACCACCGATGCATACAACACTTGACACATTTTCATCATCTCTGCTTTATTACTAAGACTCATATTAGAGGATAACTTGATAGAAAGTAGGGTAAAAATTGACTTATACCCTTGCATGTTGAAGTACCTCAAGACCTTCAGTGAGTAATTCTTTTGATAAAGTCAAACTTTTCTATCTTTTTTGTTGGTCCCTAGTTCTTCATATTAAACTTCCTAGTTAATTGTGCCTTCAAAACCTGGATTCGAACTCTAAGCCTACCACCAACATGTCATCACATATAACGACAAAATGATTAAATTATTCTCATCAAATCTACTGTAATAGGTACAATAGTTTGAACTTAGTTTGTTGTAATTAAAATCATGAAAAATCAAATCTCTTATACTAACACTTGGACACCTAGTTTAAATCGTACTGAGATTTGGTTAACCTGCAAATTGAGTTTTTTTTTTTTTTTTTTTTTCTAAATCTTCTGGTTGGAGCATACCAATGTTCTCTCCAAGTTCACCTTTAAGAAAAATAATATTTGTATCCCTACTAATAATAACCTTGTGGATAGTGGGATCCTGTAGGAAATACCTTTTCACATTATTAGCATAGTCCAAGAATTTGTCCTTCCTGAACTTTGAAAACACATATTTCCTTTTTATGTGGTATACTCATAATTTCCTGGAGTAATAATCGCCACTGATACAAAATATCTAGCCTCTCCAAGGGATAATACCAACGATTCCAACACATCAGAATAAACCAAGCCAATATGCGTTTTCTTCTAATAGTCATTATAGCAAATTTCAATCTATGTTATTCTAAGCCAACAATCTTTTTTGACATGCCCCCTCTTGCCACAATGTTAGCAAATGAGATTCTTCCTTAATCGAAAATATGATCTACCATAATTTTGATTTCCACTACAGTCATATTTCATTAATCTACCTCTCATCATCAAAGTTTCTGTGTGGTTCAAACTTTTCATCTTACTTTTTTGTCTAGATTATTCTTTAAGAATAACTTCAACATCTTCAAAGTGTAAATGTCCATCAATATTATTATTCATTATATTAATGACAAGTTGATTATACGAATTTGGTAAACTTTAAAGTAGAAGTTTTGTACGCTCATGTGTTGAAATTTACCATTGAAAGTTGGGCAAACAATGTATTCAGATTGTTAATATGATCTGTCACTAATGTGGACTCATTCATTTGAAGAGTATAAAGTTTTCTCTTTAAGAATATTTTTCTATGAAGTGACTTAATCTCGTACGATTTGATGATGGACTCCTAAATCTCCTTTGTTTTACCATTCTCCGCAATGCTAGACAAAATCGCATATGCTAATGCTAAATGTAAATTTACTATAACGTTGTTGATTTTTTCCTACTTTTGATCTGTGATGCCCATGAGTTTTTCTCCAATTGCATCTATACAATTGTCTTTTCTCAAAATTGTCTTAATCTTCTGTTTTCATAATGAGAAATAATTCTCATTGAACTTCTCGATCTTATATTTTGTTGTCATGGTTTTAACTTACTTATGCACTTTCACTATGAATAATATTGTTTACTTTAACAATAATGTAAACTGTAATTAGTGTATGTATATACTAGGTAAGCTTTCAGGAAAAAGAGGTGGGTCGCAAATGGACACACTTAAATTTAAAGTCTTTTTTTGCTAGAATTTTTCCATACTAAAATAACTTTTTTCTTATGTGGAAGATCAAATTAACTATAATCACATATAATACTATGAATTTTTTCCAAAACTATTACAAGAAACCAAGTGGCTCTGATACAATGGTTATGAATTAGAGTAATAACATAAAAATTCATAATTAAAATAAAAGATGAGAAAAAAAAACTAACAAAGGGTAATAATAAAATTTACTACCAAAAAAAATTACAATACCTTCTTTAAATTGAAGAAGAAAACAATAATATATTCTCCAAAAAATATGAGAACTCAACTAATATGCAATATACTAGTAAAAAAAAAGATTTAAGGTAATTTTACGAGATAAATACTATGCTCCTTTTATAACGAGGCAAATAAACACCAATATATAATTTTTCTAGGACTTCATCTCTCACATTCTCACCCTAGTTATAGCTTGTAAGTTTTCGGTTAGCTTATATGATATGTAAATTCATGATTAGAGAGTTAATTATTTTTCAATTAACATGAGAATGAATATTTATATATAAAACTTATTAATATGAAAATTGTCTAAAATATGAGGTTAGATTTGTATTAAAATATTATTTTAATTTCCTGGCATTTAATATTACAATGTTTAGATTCATTGTCTTTTTTATGCTTGTGCAACCACTTCCCTTTATATCATAATCAATGCTGTTTTAAAACATATTATGATCAATAATAATCATAGGTCACACACAGCACAAGTTACTACATAGTAATAATTAAATTATATGATCAATGTAAAGTTGTTGTGATGTTGCAATATCAGCCAAAATTCTACTTCCTTTTTATTTTTGTTTGTTTTCAGGTAATGAGAAGAACTGCACCTCTCCTGATGCAGTTCACAAAGTAAGGCTAAAGATTTCTGACCATATGGACTTGTGGTTATCTGAGTGTGTGGACACAGGCACCAGTTTTATATGATTATTTACATATGAAAATGTTGCACTATAACTCTGCATTACATTGTAATTTATTTCCTTTAAAAGCACAATTAGGACACCGTTAAACATGTTGTAAGACTTTGTATGAAATGACCAAATTAAAAGCAGAACACGGCATGTTTTTGTCCGATTGTTAGAGTTGTAAACGAGTGAAATTGGATTCAGGACTTCATTTGGGTTTAGATTGTGTAAAAAATAAAATTGGTTAACCATTTTTCATTTACAATTGGGTTGTGGGAACAAAGTTTTTAACGAAAAATGGGCAATTGCTTTTTATTTTTTTTGTTTCTTTCCATCTTTATATTTTTCAGAAAAAACAATTTGGAATGTTCTAAAATAAAGTATTTTATATATGATGTGAACATGACCTATGATAAGGGTTAGAGTAAGGAAAACAAAGGAAAATTTTCAATAAGAATTGTTGGTTGATCAAATTGTGTTTTAGATTAATTAATTAATGAGTTTTAGTTTGGTTTTATTACAAGTTATAATAAGGGTCCAATTTAAAATTTAGTTATGAGGTCTTTGAGAGACTAAGAGGATATATAGTTGATTGAATTTTGGTTGTCATAATTTCAATTACAATTAGTTATTAAGTAGTTTTCAATTTCTAAGTTAATAAATCATTAGTAACATTTATTTTGTTTTAGTGAATTTTTGTAACTCTGATGACAAAAACTTTTTTATAAGTTGAATCATTTTTATTATAAATAACAAGTTGAGTTTTATTTTTAGAAATATTAGATTTTATCTATTTTATTTCAGTGAGAGTGATTTTCCTAAGTTCTTGAGTGATTCAAGAATATTTGGGTTGTATCAAAGTACTTTCACATCCTTTGTGAGTTGTCTTCCTTGGGAATAATGATTCTTTTCTTCCACCTTATCACTAAATTCCTAAATTTTTTACAAGTTTCTAACCCTAAATATCTTAAATCACCCCTTGTGATTCATATCGAGTTGGTATCAGAGCCTCGGTTTAAAAGTTTGAACATCAAATTGATGACAGAGGAGGATAAAAAGAAAATGAGAGAAAAATTTCTTCAAGAAAAGAGAAAAAAAAAACGTTAGTGAAACACTTGAAGTGAGGGATAACTATTTAGCCATAAAAAGTGAGTATGATGTTAGTTCTACATTCAATTTGTCACAATTATCTCTTTTTTTATGTAGATGACAAATTCGATTTGAGGATAAATCCTTTTCAAGAGGGAGAGAATAATGTGAACATAACCTATGACAAGGGCTAGAGTAAGGGAAACAAAGAAAGATCTTCAACAAGTATTATTGGTTGACCAAATTGTGTTTTGGATTAATCAATTAATAGACTTTAGTTTGATTTTATTGCAAGTTGTAATAAGAGCCCAATTGAAAATTTAGTTATCGGTCTTTGGAAGACTAAGAGGGTGTATAGCTGATTGACTTTTGGTTATCACAATTTCAGTTACAATAAGTCATTAAGTAGTTTTCAATTCCTAAGTTAATAAATCATTATTAGCATTTATTTTTCTTTAATGAATTTTTGTAACTCTGATGGCAAAAATTTCTTTATAAGTTGAACCATTTTTATCAGAAATAACAAGTTGAATTTTATTTTTAGAAATATTAGAGTTTATCTCTTTTATCTTAGTGAGAGTGATTCTCCTAATTTTTTTGAGTGATTCAAGAACCTTTGGGCTGTATCAAAGGACTTTCACATCCTTTGTGAGTTGCCTTCCTTGGAAAGAGTGATTCTTTCCTTCTACCTTATCACTAAATTCCTAAATTTTTTACCAGATTCTAACCCTAAAGATCCTAAACCACCCCTTGTGATTCATATCAGTTGGTATCAGAGCCTCGGTTTAAAGTTTTGAACATCAAATTGATGACATAGGAAAATAAAAAGAAAATGAGAGAAAAATTTCTTTAAGAAAAGAGAGAAAAAAAAAAGCGTTAGTGAAACACTTGAAGTGAGAGAGAACTATTTAGCCATAAAAAGTGAATATAATCTTAGTTCTATATTCAATTTGTCAGGCTTATCTCTTTTTTATGTAGATGACGAATCCGATCTGAGGACAAATCCTTTTCAAGAGGGAGATAATGATGTGAATATGACCTATGACAAGGGCTAGAGTAAGGGAAGTAAAGGAAGATCTTCAACAAGTATTGTTGGTTGACCAATTTGTATTTTGGATTAATCAATTAATGGACTTTAGTTTGGTTTTATTTCAAGTTGTAATAAGGGTTCAATTGGAAATTTATATATCAGTCTTTGGAAGACTAAAAGGGTGTATAGCTGATTGACTTTTGGTTGCCACAAATTCAGTTATAATCAGCCATTAAGTAGTTTTTAATTCCTAAGTTAATAAATCATTATTAGCATTTATTTTCCTTTAGTGAATTTTTGTAACTCTGATGACAAAAACTTTTTTATAAGTTGAACCATCATTATCAGAAATAACAAGTTGAATTTTATTTTTAGAAATATTAGAGTTTATATCTTTTATCTTAGTGAGAGTGATTCTCCTAAGTTCTTGAGTGATTTAAGAACCTATGAGTTATATCAAAAGACTTTCACATCCTTTGCGAGTTGTCTTCCTTGGGAAGAGTGATTCTTTCCTTCCACCTTATCAATAAATTCCTAAATTTTTTACAAGGTTCTAACTCTAAAGATCCTAAATCACCCCTTGTGATTCTTATCATATATATATATATATATATATATATATATATATATATATATATATATATATATATATATATAATTGCTATGGAGATTTGGAAATGTATAATGTGGAATTTATTTTTAACTATTTTAGATTTTGGAACACTCCATATAAATATTTGTCAATATATAATGATATTTTGGAAAAATTGAAAATTTATTACACGGAGTGTGAGATATGAAAGAAACAGTTGTTATTTATCCAAAATTAAAATAAGCATTATCCTACAAAGTTGGAAGTAATTCGGGTGAAAATCATGTCTTTAGAGGCCAGTAGGGAGGAGATTTGATTTGAAGGTGAATGGGGTAAATTAATTTAATAAAAAAAATTTCACAACTTTTAAGTACAGATTGTAAATTTTTAAGATTAAAGAAACCAATTAATTCTTGAACCAAATAACAACAATTTTGAATGAAGAAAAAGATAAAAGAAAAGTAAGAACATCAAGTTTATACTGGTTTACCCAATTTACTGGGTTACATCCAGTTTTCAACTAAATTTCGATTAAGTTTCACTAATCAAATACCAATTGATTACAAGAACATATTGTAGAAAAATAATTTACACCAAGAACTTTAACTTAGTTCTTGAAGTTATGGTAGCAACCATAATCCAGTTACTTAGACCAGTGCCCACAATTTCAGACACCGAAAATACAATGAATCGAATGAGAAATTAAGAAACTCGAAGAAACTACAACAATCAATCAAGCAAAGATCCAACCACAGAATAAGTTTCCTAAAAAAAAAGAACAAAGAACCTCAAGAAAGATTGCTAAAGAATTGTAATGAGAAATGTGTGTTTCTCTCTTGGAAAAGATCTCTAAAGATTACTTGATTAATTTCTTAAAGTTGTTTTAAAACGTTGGAGAAAATCTGTTTATATAGAAAATTTTCTAACTAACTGATGTGATTATTTGATTAATTTGTATTTTAATCGATTAAACAACTTATCTTAAATGAATTTAACTAATGAAAATTCCTTTTAATTAATTAAAAGGTTCTACCAAATTTTGCTGAGACTTTTTAATTGATAAAAACATGATTTAATCGATTAAAACAATTATGAAATTTTTTTAGAGGCGTTTTAACTGATAAAATGTTTAAGTGTTTTTAATTAATTATTTCGAAGATATATAAGTTAAAATTCTAACAGAAGATTTTCTACAACTTTTTAAGTGATTTTAATCGATTATTTCGAAGATATATCGGTTAAAATTCTAACGAAAGTTTTCTAAAACTTCTTAAATGAATTTAATTGATTGTTTAGAAGATATATTAGTTAACATTCAGACAAAAGGTTTTCTAAACTTCTTAAGTGAAGTTAATCGATTATTTTGAAGATATATCGATTAAAACTGTGACCAAAAGTATTTTCAATTTGTTTAAGAGGTTTTAATTGATTATTTGGAAAATATATCAATTAAAATTGTGACAGAAAGTGTTTTCAAGTTATTTAAGTAATTTTAATCGATTATTTTAAAAATATATCAGTTGAATCTGCGATTAAAGAATATATTAATCGATTAAAACGATTTTTAACAGATTAAAAATACTTGAGACACTTTATACTCTTGTAAAAGACAAAAACTCATGTGATAGGAAATGATAAATACTTATACCTACTCAAAGTAGATGCAGACTCACTAATGGACTAACATAACATCTTCTATTTAATAATTTATTTTAACTTCATCAAATAAGTCAAGACTTCCAAGATTCTTCTTATTAGTTTCTTCACCAGTCTTCCCCTATTTGAAGAAGATAAAGAGCACCTTGAATCTTGAAAAACCACTTTGATGTGTGTGTTAGACATAGTTAGTATAAGTGAGTTATTCAATTCTTTCTCCCCTTTTGACTTCATCAAAATAGAACAAACATGAGTTAAAAGGAACATCATACATTCAGTAAAAAATTCAAGATTCCTGGTCAAAAGCCAGTTTAATATTACAGTCCAACAGAGAAACAAACAAACAGAAAACATAAAAATTTTAAGAAAGCGCAGTGATTAAGAAAAACCCTTGGTGTGAAGTAGCATAATTTTAGTCATCCCATGAACCTTTGGTACCTGACAGTGGTTGTTCAAGACACATGACAGGAGATATTCCAAGTTTCACAATTTGAAATTTAAAAGTTATGGGACTGTTGTATATGAAGATAACAACAAAGGTAGAATTCTTGGAGTGAGTGATGTTAAGTGTGCAGAATCTGGAATTATTAATAATGTATTGTACGTTGATAGGTTAAATCATAATTTGATTAGCATCAGTAGCTTTGTGATA